CTACTACTACTACTACTACTACTACTACTACTACTACTACTACTACTACTACTACTACTACTACTACCTACTACTTTTTCTGATGAAATCCTAAAAATGTCCAGGGCTCAGGGCTTATAAATTGCCTTATTAAAATCAAATTAAGAAGCTAAGCTAAGCTAAGCTAAGCTAACCTACCTACCTACCTACCTACTACCTACCATTACCAGCCAATTCCTCTCATCCCTTGCTTCCTGTGACTATGAACTCATTGCCTCCTATATGGACTCTGGCCTCATGCTCATCAGCTCATCCCCTCAAAGCCTGGTATCATCCTTCATGGTCCTATGGTCTCAAACACATTATTCAGGGGAGGTGGACCTCATGAGTGGTATCTCATACCTTCCTGACCTTGTTGACCTACCATGTGGGGGGGGGGCTGTTTATCAACCAGGAGTTGACATTACTGTCTGTGAGTCCCTCAAAAGTGATTCACCCACGACCCGTGAGATAGATTTCGATGATTTTCCGATGATGTTCGAAGGTTCGGCCAACGTCCGATGCATCTCTCAGAAACCATCTATCTCGTGAGAAAGGGAGGAGGACATGCACCATCAAACGTGAGATGAAACGAACCCAGTCGGGTGGTAACTGATCCGTGGACCATGCACTGTATCCTGACCGACTACCTGTTCAATAGTTTTGTGCAGAACCAATTACGGTAACAAGAATCTATAGGATGCGACATGACCCACGAATCATTTTTAGGCCCCCCGAATGAAATGGGCAACAGAAGACGAGATACCAGCAAGTAGTTGGGCGATAAACCCTCCTGAGATGATCCTGAAGCTGCAGCCAGGGTGTGTGCAAAATCGAGGCAAATGGTCTGACACAGGCTCTGGTCAGGATTGCTTCAAGCGGTTTGACCAATCACGAGGCTGCAAGAACGCCACGCCCACGCCTGGCCATTGGGCCCAAACAAGACCATGTACCTCTGTGGCACCATGAGACTGCGAAATGGACCAGGCATACTGGAAAGCGCTTCAAAAAGTTTCTCAGACCATCTCCCAGCCGGGACTGAACCGAGCATCTTTGCCCGAGGAACAGTTGAGCTCGCATCGATAATTGCGAGCTCAAGGAAAAATTGGTAAGCACTTCTTGGAAGGTTCGTGTCCCTTGCAGTGGCTGGTATGGCACCTCTATCAGGCTCTAGAACATTTGAAGCATCAAATGACGAACATGCAGATGTTCTGATTCAGCTGGTATGATCCAACCAGCCCCAGACACGTTCGGACTCCAAGCCGACCGAAGCGCACCATGACGGCCCACAGGACCCGGCAGGGTGGAGATCGTCAGGACGTCAGCCGGAGCGAAGTCTTTCAAGGTCCGAAAAGGGGCTCTAGGAGCAAAGGGCATCGCTACGAACGGAGCAAGAAGCTACTATATAGCTCCTGGCCTTACTACTAGTAACAAGAACGCTACAAAGGTAGCAAACTTGACTCTTTTTTGGTCAACCTGGTGGACTCATCACTAGAGACTATATGTTATCCCCCCGGAACGATGACGGGCTTCTCCGGGTCGAAACAGCAGCTTCTTCGTGACCGAAGGCGCCACCAGGGGCCACCAGGGGCTGGCCTGTTGCCTAGGAAAGAAGCATGTCGAATAGACCGTATTTCCAATCTACCAGGGCCCAGTGGATGATGGTTCAGTTCCCCAGCCTTGTGAATGTAATTGTTGACTGACTGTTACAGGAAAGTTCGGACAGATCCAATGTAGAATGTTGATAGAACCCCTACCAGACATGGATTGATAAACCTCTTCAGGCCTGGGGGATGAAATTTCATCCACGGAATGAATGTCATACGGCCCGTGGATGAACATCGACCGTGGCCACTGCTTCCGGAAGACCAAGGGAAACCGACTGTAACCTAGTTTGTGGAGATATTGATGATATTGGCAGCCCACATTTATCCAGTGTATTCTGGCTGTCCGGGGCTAGGGGTGCCTCAGGACGAGGCCATCATGGAGGCAGGGGATGAGGCCACCTCGATAAGTCTGCAAAGAGAGCAAGCAGGAGACTGGGAAAAAAAGCCTTACCATCAAATTCTTTGGCATGGGAAGGTACAACTCTTGGATCAGTCCTTCTTTGTGACTTTGGCTCCTGGCTGATTTTCCAACTCACTCCACAAAGCCTCTCCACGCTCCTTCGGCCAAAACCTCCAACACATGCAGCGCGCGCGCCCGTGAAGTCGGTCACCGCCTAGGCCCGAGGGCGGAGGTGAGAGGTCCGTTCCATGTCCACCACCTGGAGCCGTTCCACCACCTGGTTGTCGTGGGTGGTGGTCCAACTGGTCGATCCGGCACGGGGCACCAGCCATCACCGACCAGTCGGGGCACGATCGCCACTAGGGTGGACCAGTTGGGTGGACGACAGTGGACGAGCATCGGGCTCCAGGTGGAGCGACCCATCTCCGGGGAAGTGATCCAAACTCAGAACTCCCCAAGCAAATCCGTGTTCCTCACCTCCAGCGAGCCCGCTTTTCCGAAACGGCCATGATAGGGTGCAGAGGAGCGGACAAGAGCGGACCCCACAAAAAGTGCTAATCTGCGGAATTCTGTGGCCTCTGACTGGCGAAATGTGAAGCATATGAAGCATCTGAAGCAGTGGCACAAACTGAAATATGATCCCAAAATCCAGCACCACCAACCATGGGCTCCAATCGCTTCAAAAGCCACAAGAAACCACCCTTTTCACGAGGTCCAATCGGGTGGACAGGGGCACTCCAGAAATGCCTCTCTTCTTGATGCGTTTTCATCCAAAAAATGCCTGGGGGGTAATCCAAGTCCGCCACACTTCCACTTCTCTCCACCAGCTCTCTGCCCCGTTCGGTGCCAGCTGGCGGGCGGTTGCGCCGGCTGTCCAAGACGCGCCCCAAGAGCCGCTTCCGGCGCGAGGTCGTCCGCTCCGCCTGCCGTTGGTACGAGAGGAGCAAAGCAAGGACAGGTGTTTTCCTGCAAGTCCCAAAGGAAAAACAACGCTGGTTGATTGAAGAGAGTGAACGTTATTTGTTGCTAGAATCCGATCAATTCCGAAGAATGAATGCTCTCAGGGTGGTTGATCGGTTTTGACTTGCTACAAGCTGGGAAACATGAGGCCCTGCTTCTTCCTGCACCTCTGCTTGGTCGTTCAGGGTTCATGCCGCAATGCCGGGTCTTTTGGCGCAATTGCTCGATCAACCGTCGATCTGCCTTGACAAACACCAAGTTTGGCCCCAAGGAACAAAACCAACAAAACCATCTCCATATTCGCGATGATCCATGACACGGATGAATGCAGCCGTGATCCACTTGATCTGTTCCCCGTTCTTGCCACAACCACCAGAGTGTGCTGACTATCTACAAACGACTCCCAAAACGGGAACATCTTGGGAGTGAAAACCACCTCCTTGAGAGCGTTAACTATGTGCCATAACCCATCCAAACAAAGCAGACCAAAGGAAGACCAATAACACCCTCCAATCATTTTACTTGTAGGGTGGCATGAGAACCCTCGGTATTCGCCTTCATCGGCTGAATCCAAGATTATGAGGGTCCTGCACCTGTAGACTCTCGATATCTCTTAGATGACAAAACCCAAACCCTCCATATGACGAGGATTTACAATCCAAATGGGTTTTTCATGGTGTTTCTTCCATCCAGCCATTTGGGCTGGAGTCGCCCCGTCTTCGTCTCGCGAGGAGTCGACCTGGCCGCAGTCTCCGCTCCGCTTCTTCTCCACCGCGCGCACCAGTTCCTGCGGCTTTCGCTGCAGCTTTCGCAAATACCTCGAGGCGATCGAGGATCGCACGAGAGTCAGTTCCTCGACACCCGACACCCGATAGACAAACAAGTGAAACCAAATTTGGGCACCAAAATTGGTGAATGAATCGTCAAAACCTGGAGCCCGACCAATCCACCATGTAGCGAAAAGGCAGAAGTTTGGGGGAATGAATGGTTTATCCCGTTTCGGGTGGTTTTCTATACTCTGCTGGTGATAGGAGTCCAGCTTGAAAATGATCCTCAGATGCTGAGAATTCAGGAACGTCCTTTGCTTCTGCAATAGAAAGCGGGTGTGTATTTCATGCGGGGGACCCGAAACCGAGTTAGACTGGTCATGACTGGTCTATTTCCCGCACCGAACCCAGCAGGTCATGTTACAGTCTTTAGACGTTTTTCCCTGCAGGTTCACCTGGACCCAGACGTTCCGGTGGCTTGTAGAACACCGTGGTGTGGATGTTCATCAAGTATATCAAGTCCATCTGAGATTTGAGACTCTTCTTTGAGGGCCTTCGAAAAAAGATTCTGAGATAGAGATACATGACGTGGATTCGAAGCACGGTTTATTTCTTCTGTGCGGCGTGCGTCGCTGAGGTCTTTTTCGCGAGCCCGGTCTCCACGTCTCTCCGTATTCTGCTCCCCGGTGCAGACTTCACCCACTCTTCAGTCCCCGCCTGTTCATGCGCTTCACATGCAGCTCGTGGTCAAACTTGCCGGTGGGTAGTGGCACGCCATCCGGGAGGGTGTCAGCATGCTGCGTGCCATTCATCGATCTGCAGAGCGGCTCGCGATCGACCCGAGACCAATCTCTTGATTCATAGACCCCCCCAGACATGAATTGAAAATCCTCTTCAAAGGGGGAGCTTATTAATCAAGAGTCTACATTATGTTAAGAGGCACCAGCTTGAATGTCCCAAGTCTTTGTAGGTCGAGCATTCCTCAAAACGAGATCTGAACAGCCCGCAGGGTGCTCTCCCCGGTCGGCCATGCTGTTCCGAACACCGTGACGCCGGAATGAATGTCCATCATCCAGTACAGGGGAGGCCTTATATTGGGTCCTTCTTCATGAATTGTTGTTAGAATTAAGGGGCTAGGAAGAACCACCCCCAAAAACTTCCACTCCAAGAGGAAAGGGAAAAGACTGCCGCGACGTACTCGCCCCCTTTGGGTTGAGTCAGTCGATTGATACCTCTGACCGCACCGAATGACGATTCGTCGCACCACGCCGAACGACCGGAGATCGGGTGGAGGTTTCAAACGACCCGCCGAGAAGGGTTTCACGATCGCAAGGCTCCGATCTGTACTCGAGCTCGGGATAGCTCAGCTGGCAAAATACCAAGCCATAGTGGGTGAACACGTCAAGACCACCTAATTAGTGGGCTCATGTTGATCTGAAACATCTATAGCTCTGGGTGATGCGAAGTCTACCTGCGTCAAATCCAAAAAGAGCTGTCCCACACTGTCACGCGTGGTGTCGTTTCACGCGCAACCTCACGTCCCATGCGATTGCTGACCCAGCGACGAGCTTCGCTTCAAGTCTTCCCAGGCACTTGCCAGATCATTCGGATCCTCAAAAATGTACGTCAAGGGCTCGAAACACGTCAAAGGCTCGAAACCGGCACGGATCACTATGATCACTATAAATCACATATAACCATCGAAACACAGTGGTCAGCCCTCCAAGAAGAAAAATGAAAAAAGAAAAAGAAAACGCTGCAGGCCCTTGCTACTTTTTGTTTATAAGCACTGCTAGAAATCTCGGGGAGCAGATATCTTGGCACACCAAGCTACACCTCTTGCGTTTCATTTCGAGTCAGACTCGCTTGACTTCCCTTCACTTCGCTCATATCATATTTGTTCCAGCTTTTCTCCGATCCTATAACCTTTGATGCCAGGTGATGGAAGGGCGCACTGACTAGAGCCAGGGTTGTGCTTGCAGCTTTTTGCTGGGAAGGGTGTGAGCTGATTGTGTTTGTATCTTTCTGGTGCCTTACTATTCTGACACCCAGTTCCTAGTTGGCAGACACCCACCTATACATAGACGTTCCGATTGTGTGTTCTTTGTCCCACTGTCCATGTGTGTTTGCTCCTGTCTTTCTAAAGGCAAACTGGCGCTTCAACAGGAACCTCCTCCAAGACTCCGTCTTGCTCTGCTGCGCGGAGGCTGGAGGCGGGACGCGCCTCAGGTCCTGAAACTCCTCCACCTGGCGCCGCGCGGAACGCGGAACCCGCGAGGCAGCACGACAGGCGGGTCCAACACGGCGTGGGTCGGCAGGCGACAGGCGCCTCGGTGTAGTCGGAAAAAATACGGGTCTGTCTTTTGGAAAGACTGGAGACGACCGGGTATAAATGAGTATTGCCCTAACATGCCCTAACCATCATTGCACCCTTTGAATTACCTGAACAACGGCGGAGGGTACATGTTTCTTTTGGGTGAAACGAATTGGGTATGTATTAAGATTGGGCGGAGACCTCCCAAGCCCGAAGATTTGGGAAATAGACCAGTCCGACCGGCGACCGGGCCGAGCATTCGGGGATCGACATAACCGCAAACTGCACCGGTTTTGATCCACAGCCATACAGCTTGGTGCGTTTCATGAAACCGGCTGGAAAAGCGAATGAATGGTTCCTTTAATTAAAATACAGACATCATCGTAGCTCGCTGTCATTGTCCAATACATCAGCGTCTCGACATTGGCCGCACCTCCACCTTCGCGCTGCGCAGCGCGCTGCAGCCCATGGCGTCGATCGAACGCCGCGAGCTCTCGAGCTGTCGGACGGAGCCCAAGCGGTGCAGCAGAAGCACGGTCGTCGAAGGAGGAGAGATCACAAACGGGGTCGCCGTCCTCCGTTGTCCTGTTGGAGGAGTTTCTACAAGAAAGAGCAAGTGCTAAACAGATCTAAACAGCTTCATCATGGAAGTGGTCGCAGCTCACTTGCATGTGGGTTGTGTGGGTTGCTCACCTGATTCATGGCCTGAATGTCCTAGTGAACCACCCCACAGCCATTAAATCGATCTGAATCGTGTCAACTAGTCCATCCATCCCAAGCTGGACAGCTGCTGCACCGGACCTCCATCCCCGAAGCTCCCAATATCTTCGGCCAATTGGAAGGACTGGGAGCATTCTCCTGCCCCTCTCACACACAGGCACTACACCATGCAAATGACCTGGACAACCAGTGAATCTTCACAGGAACTTACACTAGCCATCAATGGTTCCACGTTCAATCAGGGTGCATGTTGCTTCTCAGGAGCATTAGATCTGCCCAGGAGATGACACCTCTGCTTTCAATGCAGAGAAATCCGATACCGGAGCTTCCATGTTCGGATCATCTGGCATCTTGGATCAGCTCCTGTCGGGTCCAAGACTTGCAGCCTACTCTAGCCAGTAGGAAACAGATCTGTGCTCCCAGAACTCGGCACACATCGGGCCCAGTGACCAACGAATCGGGCCCAACATCGTCCTCACAGACATAGCCCATGGGACTCGAAGAGTTATATAAGTCATAGCCCATGGGGATAAACGGTTTAGTAACTCTTCCAGTCCGGAGGTGACCTGCACGGCCCAAAACACAGCAAAACATCCACCGGTCTCTCTCTCTCTCTCTCTCTCTCTCTCTCGCGTCCCCTTTTTTGGGGGCGTTCCGACGAGTCCGCCGGCGTGGTGGGTGAGACCGCGGCTTTGGTCGGGCTCACCGACGAGAAGCCTCCGCCGGTGCGGGGACGGCGAAACCGTCGGGACTGGAATCATGAGCATCATGGTCTCGCGTTTCCGAAAAGACTTCAAACGCATTCTAAATACTCATTCATATGATCATTCTAACGGTTATCGTTTTAAGACCTCTTTGAAAAACCCATTGGTGGGTCCCAAAAATGTCAGATTTAGGGTTGGCTCCTTGACATGGAGGCCTAACCACGGCATGCTCGGTGCGACGGAAGGAAGTGGTCTCTGAGATCAAATAGGCCATCCTTTACTAAATGGACAGGTTGCAGATGGTTAGGTTGCAGACCTTTCTGATGATAGTGGTTGGGTTACAGACCTTTCTCAAAAACTCGTGAAAGTTCGTCTTTCACCGACAGATGTTCCTTCGTTTTCTTTGACACACGTTCGACCGTGGACCCGGTGCTTTTCTTCTTGGCAATGGCTCGATTTAGCAATGGCTCCACCAAGGGAGGTGAAGTGACCATAAGTGACGCATAAGTGACCTGATCATATTGGGACAAGTAAAACCTGGGGTACCTATGGGATATAATCACACATAGTCTATACCCTAGAAGTCCAAAGACTATATTTTGACCGGCTGAAGTAAAGGAAGTTCCCCTTCAGGTCCCCTAAAGACCATTCATTTTATCGTCTTTGACTCCCAGGGTATAGGGTTCTTCAACCTCTGTTGGCAGGATCCATCTCTTCGGCATCGTAGGCCGCACCTTCGCCCTCTGAATCGCTGGCGTAGGCCGCGATGGTGCCATAACGCCGGTGGGCCTGGGGCGAGAAGAAGCCCCCTTTGGCTTAAAAATGGATGGTTTTCTGGTTGTGAAAATAAGAAGCTTGCCTTTTCTTGTTGTTTTCTGGTTACAAATAAATGGCTCTATTTACCAAGAATAGGGAAAAAACATCTTTACTGCAGGGTCATGCTCATGTTTTCAGGTTTGCCTACTGCAGCATGCTGGCACTGGTCGGAGAGCTCGGGAAAAGGGACTGGCGAGCGCCAAACCCGGCCCTTTGCCCGGAGAAAAGCCGGGCAACATAAAGACGAGTATCAGGAACAGGGTGGACATCACTCGAGGTTGGACACACGGGTAGGGCGATCGGGCGATCACCGGTTTGGAAACCGATCCTCGGTCCCCACGGGCGGCAGAAGGAGCGTTTTCAAACGTCCGACTTCTGAACCGAAGATCAAGGCCAGGATGTTGGCACCCAGTGGGCTTTTTTGGTGTTCAGGGTGTCGTATATGTAGTACTGTGCCGCAAAAGGACGACGAAAGCACCTGGAGGACAGATACGAATTCCGACCAAACACCGATCGGTGTGGGGCAACCAAGAAAAAGGATCTCAAACGCGCCCATGAGGTGGAACAACCATGCCACACCAGAAGCATTGCAAACATGAATCTTGTTCAAACATGTTTGGATTGTTTTGGTTTGAAACATGGTGAAACACCGTGTGAAACACCATGTTTCTCCGGTTCATATCTCTTTCTGCCATCTTTTCCACCTCATTCTGACTCAAAGAAGCACACACAACACGTCATCCTGCTTGTCCGGATCCGTCTTGTCCGGTCCCTTGTGTTTCTGCAGTGTCCGCATTCAACCAACGACTCAGAAGGTCAGTGAGTCCACATCCTACACTGGCAAAACCATGGAAAAATAACGGGAGCAACAAAGAGAAACCAACGAATCCACCCAGAGAAACTTCTCTTTGGGTGAACCTCCCAGAAAAAGAGAATCCTGGAGAATCCACCCAGATCGGGTGTGTTTTTTGTTCCCACATCTTCATCGCAGGTTGGAGGCTATTAGGTTGGAGGCCATCCCTAGCAGGTTGGAGGCCAACACCTCACTTCCTTCCACATCTTGTTCGCCAGGTCCGGGACGATCTCTTTGATCAAAGCCCTGAAATCCTGAGGGACGGAGGGGAGAAGAGGAGAATCACAAAGCTAGTGATGTTCGGTATGCTGCGTTGCTTTCAGACTGCAGACCTATTGTGAGAGTTTTGCCGAGTTGTTGAAGGTCTAGTCTACCTTCCAGAGTTCAAAAACTGTTCAACCAACCACCTCTGCTTTTGAAGCACTGGCACTCCATGACTTGCATCATTCTGATGTTCCTAACTCCGTTGGAGTTCTGCAGCGTTGGAGTTCTTGGAGTTGTCCGGAAGTGCGGGTTTGACTGGAACCATCAGGGTTTCTTGAGCATTCTCTCGTTGTTCTTGTGCAAACTCTTGCCAAATCTGTGTCACCCATGCCCGACCCGATGAAAGGAGCGAAGGTTTGTGCAGGTTTGCCCCCTCAACCCAACCAGTGGCTCAACCTCCATCCTCGTCCGCCGCTCCTGGAGGTTCATCACGCCGCTGTGACCAGCAGAATTCAGAACCTGCCGAAAAGGAAACTAGGAACAAGGATGCTACGAACGGGGCTCCTGGCCTTACTATCAGAAGCAAGGATGCTACTAGTACATCAAAAAGGGTATTGATGTGATCAGGGAGACTGCCGCTCTTGCGCCCGTTTAAACGAACGGTCAAGCTGTCTTTCCCGAACCCAGGGGGGAGGTCTCCACGGCGGTTCGGACGCCCTATTGGGAATATTGGGATAGACCCCAGGCCACAGACCAGCAGTTCCAAAGGAATGCTTTGCAGTCCCCAGAAGTGGCCCGGGACGACCACGTAGCCAAGTTCCTATGGAATGTGAGCTTTGGAAAGTGAGCCAAGTTCATTTAAACAAAAGAAAGCACCCAAAAAAATAATATACCAGGGCCCCCTAAGGGGTGTCTAATTATAGCTCCTAATTATAACCACCACTTAGCTCTGGTATATATATATCACCCAATATCACCCATATTGGCTGAGAGCCCTGTTTGACTTCACCCTGATAGGTTGACCTCCTGTAGGTCGTCCATGACTCATCATTCGAACGCGCAATTCCTTCCTAACTTGATGTTACAACGTCGTAGCAACGTCATGGTTCTTCTAACAGTCTAACAGTCATGGTGTGTTCTTCTAAGTGAAGAATCTGTGGGATGTGCATGGCTCTCTTGGTGCCCTTGGTTTTCTTCGATTCAAAGGCTCGGGATGTCGCTGGGAGTCGTCATGCAAACAGCCACGGACCTGGGCTAGTTGAGGCTATGGACCTGGCCTATTTGCGCTTCTTGCATCGCTGTGAGAAGATCTATAACTGGGTCCATCCTTGGTGATGCGAACGAGCACCTGGAACTTGGTGGTGTTGCGAAGGAGCACCTCGGGCATCGAAAAAGGTGGCGCCCAACCAATGTCATCCTGACCAACCGATGGATTGCCGGATGTTTTTCGAAACACTGGCAGAAACACAGACCAGAGAACCGATCCCTTGGACCATCAACCACAGATCCAGTGAAGGAAGGAAGCGACAGGTTCTGATCCCAGTCACCCCACCGACGCTTCAGCTCACCTCCGACCTCCGCGACCCGACCTCTCCCTCTCCGTCGCGACACCGCTCCGCCTCCGCCGCTTCCTCGGGCGTCACGAAGCGCTCGACCTCGGCCAAGCTCACCTGGAGCAGGTCGCGCGCGCGGAGCGCGAGGGTGCCACAGACGGAGCAGATCGCGTTGGCCATGCGGAAACGCATGGGGTCAGGTGCAGTGGGCAGACAGGCCCAGCTAACCCGGTGCCATGTCCTACCGAGCTGTTGACGGGGCTGTTGACGGGATCTGGTCGTTTTAATTACAACAGCATAGACCCAGATAGCTAGGCAGAATCCCACGACTTGTTGACATGCGACTGGTTGGAACAAGAATGTACGCAGCCTGCACAGCCAGCTTACGGTGCCTCCACAGCGCGCGCAACCAGCTGACACCAGCACACCGGTGCGCTGTGCCAGCTCACAACACCGGCGGCGGCGCCAGCGCCCGACCAGCGCCGCCGCCCGTCTTAAGCGCGCGCTCAGCCACCCTTCGAAAGCGCGCGCAGCCAGCTCATTCTTATTTGCAGTAAGAACCCCATAGCTATCCCTAGTGCGATCTTGCGCGTAGAAGTTTATGCGCAGAAAAATTTTCGCGCAAACAGCAAAGCCCGTAAGTGTCATTGGCCCAAGGCCAGGCAGTATCCAGCGCCACTGCTGCCTTTGTAGCACGCTTCAAGCAACGATCTGTAGAACGATAAGGCCGCATGATCTTGCGCGCATAAGTTTATGCGCACTAAAGTATGCGCGCAAGCGGCAAAGCCCGTAGGCTTCACTCGCCCAAGGCCAAGGAGTATCCAGCACGACTATTGTGTGTGTGCGTAGCGTGCTGCAACATGCTGAAACAATGGTCGGTTGAGAGCCTGACGTTGCGCACAGAACATTATACGTGCAAAAGTATGCGCGCAAACAGTACAGCCCTTGACGCAGCTGTCGGCCAAAACAGAAACTGAAGAGTGCAAATACCCCACAGCGCTAATTCATAGACAAAGAACACTCAAGCGACAACACCGTATGATGTTGCGTGCACGGCACCCGGCACCCAGCACCAGCACCGGCACCAGCAACCTGTCTCCACCACGTGCACAGCCAGCTCACAGCGCCAGCACCAGCACCGGCGGCACCCATCACCGGCACCAGCAACCTGTCTCCACCACGTGCACAGCCAGCTCACAGCGCCAGCACCAGCACCGGCACCCAGCACCGGCACCAGCAACCTGTCTCGAAAGCGCGCACGGGCAACTCCTTGTTATTTGAAGTAAGAACCCCATAGCTTCGCTATCTGGGAAAAAAAAGATCACGGAGGGTATTCGTTGACAGGGCATCTGATCATTTCGTTCCTTTGCAGCTCCTTCAGGGATCGAATTGCACATAGAAACAGTGCCACATGCCACACGGTTCGCTCTCTTTTTTGCTTGAACACCCAGCGCTCAGATGCCTCCCAAGAAGAAAAAAGAGAGGGTTTTCCAGGCGCGGCCGCAAAGATGTCTCACCGAGATTCAGAGAGGTATAGACTTATAGAGTTCTCATGCTCCCTGTCAGAAGTCTCCTTCAACTTTTGGGTATATTCTCCGAGAAATGCAGTCATGATGAGTGCCAGGGCCCTATGTTTGTCAGCATGGAGAGTATTAGGGGTTGGATTGCCGGAGCCAGTCTCGCAGACGAAGATCCATATTATAAATTTGAATTTAAACCACGTCAAAATGATCCTGTGGCTACGTGCCCTCCCATAAGCTTTCAACAGACATACCAACTTGGCGCTTTGGCTCAAGAAAAGACAGCTTTTGTCCTTTTGAGGATGCTTAGGTTATGAGCCCAAGAGCATAGCCAGAAAGTCCACCTTCCAGTTTGGAAGTTGCTGGTCCCCATGGCGTTTCAATCTCGCCGCCGCCGCTCCCGCGAAGCTGAGCGGCTGGTGGACCCTGGTGATCGACCAGGGGTGCTGCGGGTGGGCGCGGCAGAGGAGCGGCTGGAGAGGCTGCTTGAAGAAGATCGTGAAGGAAGGGCTGCTTCGGTGCCTGCGACTACAGCGGCGGTTCGAAGGTTGGCAGCGGCTTCTGGCCAGGCGACCCCGGCGATGGCAGGTTCCTCGGTGAGGAGGACGAGCAGAGAGCCAGAAGGTCAGGGAGACGCAGGGCAGGTTTTGAGTGAATCAGTGCCTGGTCTGCTAGACTCAGTTCGACAATCGCTGGAAGTGTTGCAACGAGCATTTGGTGGCAACCCTCAAAAACAGGGTCTATTCGCTCCTCTTTTGCATCCCCACGATCTTGGACACCTTGCCGGTAGTGTTTCTGATGTTCATGGAGGGCATGGAAGCATGGTTGCATCCCCACAACATCCTCTTCCACCACAAGGAAGGCCGACTAGCTATGGGCCTGGGATGGAGTCTGGGCCGCAACCGAGGGTGCTCGATCCCTATTCCATGACCACACCGCCACAGGCAAGAGGGGCAGAGATCAATCCCTTCTGGAGCACACAGGCTCCGCTGGGCGCGGCGGGGAGCAGATCAGGACATGATCCAGTACCTCCAGGTGATGTTCGAAGATCTCCCACCCACCTCGAAGTGGAGGCGATCAGGGAAAAGGTCCTCAAGGAGGCAGAGACTCTGTTTGCAAGAGAGATCAAGAAGATCACGGGGGGCGGCGAATCGTCTTCGTTCGAGTCGGTTCCTAGCGCTGGTCGGGAGCAAGGGAAACCCCCGATCGATGCGCTGCGCTCTGGAGTTGGGTTGGAGGCCCATGGACACCCTCTACCACAGGATCAAGGAGGTCCACAAGTACATGGTCTTGACTGTCCACCAGGGTTGCATAGAGGAGGAATAGGTCAGGGTCCCTCAACCAGGTCCGAGCAAACCGGTGGAGCTGTGAATGAAGTGTTTCGGAGCTTGGAGTTGCCCTCACTTCCTCTTCCGGGGAGTGATGGGGCATCATTGGCGTTTGGAGATTGGCTGACGGTGGCTATGCCTCTCATGTCGGACCTCTCGGCATCGGCGAGAGGGTGGTGGCGAGCGAATGTCATCGAAGCGGAGGCCCTCTATGAGACTTGGCTGAAGTTGAAACCGCTCGAACTCTTGAGACTCAAGGTGGAGCGCCCCTTGGATCCGAGCTTTGAGAGGGTGGAGCATCGTGGAGTGACCATTTTGCTGGGGGTTCTTCCGGACCAAGTGAGAAAGGATGTCATTGCCTCCAGGAAGGTCAGTTGTTTGGGAATCCTTTTTCGGCTGTACACCATCTTTCAACCAGGAGGGTCGGCCGAACGAACTGCACTTTTGAAGAGCATCACTGACCTGAAGGTGGGTCATGGGGTGGCGGACGTCTTGTCAGGGATTCGCCAATGGAGGCGCTGGATTCAACGTGCTCAGGAGTTGGGTCTTGCAACTCCGGATCCACTGGTATTGGTGCAAGTGCTCAATCGAGTAACTGAAGCCCTGGGCTGGGTGGCTGTTAAGGGGGATTTTGTTTCCCCCAGCTACTCAGCAACAGACTCTACTCAACAGACTGAGCCTGCCAGCTTGTCTGGTCAACTCAACCTGTGATTGATCAGTGACATGCCTTCCCCCAGCTTCTCAACCTGCCAGCTTTTCAACTCAACCTGAGTCCTCCCAGTTTTTTCTGACTTAGTCCGGAAATGAGGACGTGAGTCGTTCCAAATTTTCACGACGTTTAAAATCAATTTTCATTTCTCGGTTTATTATTTTGAAAAGTCCAGGCATTAAGTTTAATAGTTGGGTGCAAGTTAGTTTCCCGTCGTGATTTACCCAAGTCTTGACATGGATAAATCACGACGGGAATAGGAAGCTTTTGATTTCTCAGTCATTGTTGTCACCGCAGCTGTCTTTGTCATTGTCACCGCAGCTGTCCTTGTCAGTCATTGTCACCGCAGCCGTCCTTGCCTGGTGCCAGTCACCGTCATTTTGTGCTTGGACCTCAGCTACATCCCCTCTTGGCCATCATTGGCATCCATTAAGTATTGATGATCAGGTCGGATGGATCTACACGAAGCCATCGAGAAGGTCGAAAAGTGTGTGGTCAGCTTGGTCAGGACGCACCCGTTGGACGCACGCATTGGACACACACATTCCTTAGTTCGACACCTCCAGGAAGAAAATCAACGTGACCTTGGATACCTCGATCCAGCTGGTGGAGTCCATGATGAAGCGAGACATCACCGAAGATGAGGACAATTGTCATGTATAATTTATTATGTTAGTTTATTATTTTTGAAATTGTCACTGACCTCCATGTACTGCTCTGTTCGTCTCTGACCTCAATTGCCAGGCCATGCAGGTGTTCCAGACTTTGAGCATCTCCATGAAACTCATTGAGAAGCCTCCTCAGGCCAGATATTCATTCCTGTCATTCCCGTCAGTTGATGTCATGGAATTCCAATGTCAGGGCGAAGACCAGGACCCTCCAGGACCAGGACTGCAAAACAAGCAGAACGGTTACGCTGAAGCTTGCTAAGTGGATGTGACAATAATAATACAGTGATTATATAGTTTCATTTGACAGGAGTTACGGTCGCGGCGCTTTGCAAAGAGTGTCAGTGACTGAATAATAACAAGCGTTCTGTAAGTTGCCATGGCCAGATTCCATCAGAGCCACCTTGATGCCAAGGCGTGTTCAACATGGCCGATTCTGACGAGCACGACTGTTCTGCCCCGTCCTCCTCCTCACAAAGGCCGGCTTGACTCTTCGGCCACTTGCTGTCATTGACTCTGGAGTGCCTTGATTTTGTCATTGTCATTCACCACATGCCAAAATGTTTGAGGCTGAACGATGTTTGGCAATGACATTCAAGACATTCAGTCATTCAAGCAGTGCAAGTGGCACTCAATGACATTTTAATGACACACACTGACTGTTCTTCCACGATGAACTAGCCTTTTTGCACAGTTCCGAGTGAAGCCATGTCGTCAACGCCGGCACAGCGAGTTATCATTTTTGGATGGGCTAGGAAACCCAAGCCCCGACACGACAAGAAGGCTCAGGCGTGAATATCGTCATCATTGAGTTTTTGTATGTTTCAATTTAATTGTTTGCGTTTGTTTGAGACCAACTTTCAACAAAGCAGCATCAGCATCATCTGATGAG